AGCAATAACTCATGATCAAAAGTAAAAACAAATGATTATTATATAATAACTAATTAAAGAGTTCTTTTGTTTTTTTTTCTCACTATCATATTTTATAAAAATGTTTATGTATGCAGAAAAATATATATATATTTCTTTGTTTAATTTAGATATATTATGGCAGGTCTTTCTACAGGTTGTTTGATTGTATTTAATGTTAATTTTAATGTTCTTAATCAACCTCGACGTAATTCTGGAACGCCTACTGCAAATGTTTAATAAAAAATGTTTTCTGTTCGTGTTTTTTTCGTAGTGTAATTGTTTTTTTGACTATTAATATTTTAACACATTTTTTTTTCCTCTGTGCTTTCATTTGAGGCTTTTTTTTTCTTATAGACATTCCAAATTCCTTGCGTTTATATGGTTCTTTATAAAAGAGAGGATCCATGGTTTCATTTTTGTTTTGAATAGGTGAGAACGGCTGCTACATCAAGTAGTATTTTTTTTGTTTTTGTGTTTGATTTGTTAGGTGGGAAATAAGAAAGCCCCAGTGATATTCATTTTGTTGTTGGTGTTTATCGTATTTATCTAGGTTAATTTGTAACGTGCATGCTAAAAAAAAAAAGATAAAAATCTTTAACAATATCACGATCTTAAATATTTCATTTGTCTGTGCATTTTTCTTTTTACTTATGCTTATGAACAGAGTTCACCGCACTCCTTTTTTCTTTCTGGTGTTTCTTAAGCTTCAAAAAAAACAAAAAAAAATAAAGCAATTCAATAACTATTCATATACTTCGCACATAAAATAAAGAACTATTTCCAATAATCAAATAGTTATCTGTATAATTGGTTTTAGATTATTCCGGTAAATTGACAAGTTAAAGAATGACAGCAGCAACTGGTAAATGAATTTATAAATAGTAAATTATTGAAAAACTTTGTATCTACAGAGAAGTAATGAACCAATTCTTTTGCAGCAGCAGATCTTTCTCTAACCGAGAACTCGGCTTTTGGTTTAAGAGTTATGAGATACGTTATATTAGCAATTTTTTGTATAGAACAGAAGGTAAGGTTGTTCCTTACAAAATTATATCAGAATAAAAAGTTTGAGAACCAATTTGCAGATCTTGACAAGATCATTTCGAGTAGTGTCACATATCCAAGATTTTGGAGATGCCACCACATCTCCCGTGGGAGATGCCGCGTCTCCAGCGGGAGACGCGACACCCACACTCGAGAGATGTGGTCATTCACCACTGGAGATGTAAGATCTCCTTTAGAGATGCGCATCCCCCACACCCACACCCGCATCTCTCGCGCGAGATGCGGCATCTCCCGCGGGAGACGTGGTGGCATCTCCAAAATCTTGGATATGTGACACTGCTGAATAATTAATTGTGCTGCACTTAAATCAGTTGGTGAATCAGTACAAAAACCAATTTCATATTATAAAAATAATATTGGTTGTTTACTTAATTTACTTACAGTAATTGTTTTTGTAATTATTAAATAAAAATATATTTATTTGAATATTATTTAGTGTATGAAAGAATTTAATGTTAAAAATTTTCTTTTTTCATCATCAGCTACTGTCTATGGTACACCGAAATATTTACCACTTGATGAAAAACATCCATGTATTGGTGATGCTATTACTAATCCATATGGTAAAAGTAAATATATATGTGAACATATTCTTAAAGATACAATAGTTGCTCATCCTGTTCGTATTTTAAAATTAAAATAATCTATTTTTTTTTGTTTTGTTTTTTTATTGTTGTTAATTTATTTAGGAATGGAATATCATTATTTTACGTTATTTTAATCCTGTTGGTGCTCATAAAACAGGTTTAATTGGTGAAGATCCTATTGGTAAACCAAATAATCTTATGCCATATATTGCACAAGTAGCTGTTGGTCGTTTACCATATGTTAATATTTTTGGTACTGATTATGATACTTCAGATGGTACAGGTAAACATAAGCAAATAAATATAATTTATCTTCTTATCATTAAAAAACTATTGAATATGTATAGGTGTTCGAGAGTATATACATGTTGTTGATGTAGCTATAGGTCATATTGCAGCAATGAAACAATTTGAAATGATTTGTGGTTTAAAAGTTAGTAATAGATAATGATTTAAATTTTTTTTTTTTATTCTTTCTTATTTAGATTTATAATCTTGGTACTGGTAAAGGTTATTCTGTATTAGAAATGATTAAAGCATTAGAAAAAGTATCAGGCAAAATAATATCTTATAAAGAATATTCTCGACGTCCAGGTGATCTTGCAACTGTTTATGCTGATTCAACATTAGCAGCTCAAGAACTTGGATGGACAGCTCAACGAAATTTAGATGAAATGTGTAAATAAGTTTTTATTTTTAAGTACAGATTTAAAATTATATTTTTCTTTTATAGGCGAAGATTTATGGCGTTGACAATCGAATAATCCAAATGGATTTCAATAGAATCTCATACATAGTATTAATTTAATACATCTGTAGAAGTTAAATTTAAAAAAAAAAGAGAATCTCTTTCTATCTATAAACGCATTTAGTCAATATTTACATCTACTTATTTATGATGTTTTAGATGAGTAATATTTACATTCAAGAGCCAGCTACTCGTGGCAAAGTTGTTTTAGATACAACTGTTGGTGATATTGAAATTGTACGCAATTTTGTGTCTTTCTTTTTTTTTTTTTTTTACAAACGGCACTACAAAAGTTTTTTTTATCAAGTCGTAGTTCTAGATATTCGATCGACATATAATTTCATATGATTTTATACACCGAATCCCTTCTGTCTTCTTATTTTGTATTTTTAATAACTAGAACATTGAACTTATTACGAAATATCCAATCTCAATTGCAACATGTTCACCTATGTAACTAATCGGAATGAAATATAAGAATAAGATATTTTAGAAAGTTTAGAAGTTCAACAATTGATCTCAATGTACAACATTTAGGAAAGTCGGACGCATAAAAAAAAAACAATTTTGTAGTGCCCTATATAATAAATGTGAAATAGTAATATGTTTTTTTTTTGTTTTTTAGGAACTTTTCTCTAAAGAATGCCCATTATGGTTATTATGATGGTACAGTTTTTCATCGAGTTGTACCAAATTTTATTGCACAAGCTGGTGATCCAACTGGAACAGGTGAAGGAGATGAATCAGCAATTGGTGAATTCTTTGCAGTAAATCATAAATTAAATTAAATTTTATTTTGTTTCTATATAAAAAAAAACAAAAACAACTTTAGGATGAATTTCATACATGTTTACGTTTTAATCGTCGTGGTCTTGTTGGTATAGTTAATCAAGGACCAAATACTAATGCTAGTCAATTCTTTTTTACTTTAGGTAGTACTCCAGAACTTGATAAAAAGAATACATTATTTGGCAAAGTTGTTGGTAATACATTATTTAATATGTTGACATTAGGTGAAGGAGAAATTATTGGTGAAATACCAGTACATAAACATAAAATAATTAAAGCAGAAGTAAAAAAATGAGAAAAAAATTTATAGTTTTAAAAGATTATATTTTATATGTATATAGATTATATCAAATCCATTTGATAATATGGAATCTCGACCTCGAGCTAAATCACAAATGATTGATGATGATAATGATGAAATAAATAAAAAGTCGAAAGAAACTGTACAAGCTAAAGCAATCAAGTAGAATTTTTCTATGAAGTTAAAACAAGAATTTGAAATTCTTTGTTTTTTTTTATAATTAGAAATTATGGTCTTCTTTCATTTGGAAATGAAGCTGAAGAAGATGAAGAAGAAATAACAAAAATTTCAATGGTATAGATATATTTCATTTGTCTTTTTTTGTTTTTTCCTTTCTTAATTTAATATTTTTATAGACATTCAAACAATTAGGAACGGGAAAAAGTGCACATGATTTAACTAATGATTCAACATTAAGTAAAAATACAGTTGTATTAAATGAAAATAATGACGAAAGTGATGAAGAATTACCTATAGAAAAACAAAATTTTAAAATAAAAGAAAAAAGTGATGCAGATTTTGATAAAGAAGAACTTGATAAAGTACGACAAAAATTTAATGCAAAAAAAATAGCTCAGCAAGAAAAGAAAAAACACTTCAACTTGGTATTGATGATGATGATGATGATGATAATCAAAAAGATATTTCATCAACAAAATCGTAAATATAAAATACAACAAAAATATTTTGATTGATTTAGTATTGTCTTTTTTTTTGATAGAAATGAAAATGTTCAACTTGAAATTGAATGATTAAAAAAAGAATTAAAACAAACAAAAAAGTCATCATCAGCATCCACACCCAAATCATCAGAAAATGTCGTTCAAGTAGAAACAGAACGTAAATATTGTTTAATGATATTTAGTATATCCTAAGAATTCCAGTTTGAACGGATAAATCCATTCGAAAGTATTGAACTTTTTTTCGGTCTTACCAAGATCTATTTCATATTTCAAGATGCATGAGGATATTCATCCTATTTTTAACTGACAATCATATTTTATGAGTTTATTTCAAATTTAGCTGCACCCTCATCTATTCAACCAGTTACCTCAAGTACTACTACATTAATGGATGAATTAATGGCAGGTACAAGACGAAACAATAAAAAAAATCATTGTAGTCATTCAAATTCAAGAGAATCTCAAGCTTGTTCATCAGTTATTTTTGTACTGAATAAAATATTCAAATTTAATTTTTAGACACTTGATTTATTAGAAAGATTTCGTGTAAAAGTTCATACTGCTAACGATGAACAAATTAGTGAACCTTTAAATGAAACACAATCAGAACAAATAGCTGATAAAGTTCAAACACCATTTTTAAAACATACTTTTGTATCTCAAGATTTATTAGATAATGTTCAAGATATTTATACGAATGCTGAATTATTAACTGTTTATGATCCAAGAAATCCAATGACTAAACGACGACGAGATGAAAGTAGTATGTTACTTCATCAAAAAAAACATAAAGGACGTACATAAAACAATGTTGTTGTTTTGTTCATCTGTGTATTATGTAATTTCTTTTCTTGATGATATAAAATAAATCGTTCCATAAAAAATATCATAAAAAGAAAGGAATTATTTTTCTTTATTGTATTCAGATAAATTATGCAACATTCATGTTCCCATACATGCCAACATGTTGATGAAACAAATGTTCGTCAATGGAATTTATATACAAAAATTGATAAATATAATTTACAATGTTATAATGAAAAACATGATGATTCAGGTAAAGATGTATTTCGTGCATGGGAAGAACAACTTGATCGATCAAAAGTATATTTTGTATTTGATTTATTCAAATAAAATACTATGAATACGTGTTGTTTTTTGAAAGGTAGTTGAAACTGATGATGAACAAGAATTACTTTTCAGTATACCATTTAATGGTGCTGTAAAAATAACTGGCCTATGTGTTATTGGTGAAAATGGTCCATCACATCCAAATACAGTTAAATTGTATGTGGATAAATTATTTCAATAAAGTAGGAGTTATGATTTCTATATATATACATATGAATAGATGGAGTAATTTACCTGAATTACGTTTTGATAATGCACATGGAAAAGCTCATCAAGAAATTTCACTTACATATCATCCATCCGGTACATTAGCTTATCAAGTCAAGTAAATATCTTGATTTTTTGAAAAAATTTTTAATCAAATATGTATTTTAGTCTATCACATTTTTCACGTGTAACACATCTATCTTTATATTTTCCTTCGAATTTCGGTGATGAAACAACTCGTATTTATTATATTGGTCTTCGTGGTGAATATCTTGGTGTAAGTGAATGTTATATTTCAATATGATTCTGTATGATTTTTTTCATGTATAGGAAGTAAAATCTAAAGTAGTCATTACAACGTATGAAGCTAGATCACAATTAAAAGATCACAAAGTGGATGATTTTTTAACAGGCCATCGTGAAATACAATAAACTGATACTATTGTTTTTTTTTATGTTAAATTTGCAAAAAATCTTTCTAAAATAAATTTTCATCTTGATTGAATTTGTTGTATTTTATCTCAAATGATTCTTAGAACTAATGGTAAGGATATAACCTACTTTCTACAGAAATCCGTCTAAAAAATGGACAGTAGTTTTCAATGTAAGTCACATTTGAACACCATATTTACGTATTCAAGAGCTCGCAAATAGTGCATTTTTTAGCCATATCTTATAACCAATTTCTGACAAAGGTCGATATATAGTGACCTATTTTGTGATCGGTAACCATTTCTTCATTGAAACTGGTTGTCATAAACCATCCATAAAATGATAATGACATAGCGATGAAAAGTCAAGTTTTTCTCCACTACAAAAAGACACGTAAAGGCAATAAATATCTTAATTGGCTATTATAGACCAAGAACTAGATCTTGATTTTGCATGATAACCTTGAACTAGAAAAATGATTTGGTCTTATAGAGAACTTGACAGGGTGTGGGTGTTGTCTTCTTTTAAACCCCCACACCCACACCCAACTATTCATTTTGCAAAGTGCTGCACACCTGTTCTCAATTGAAATTTCCGTTATGATGCATGATTCAATCGAAAGGTGTGGGTGGATGGGGTGTGCGTGTGGATGTGAGTCTTCTTTTTGCAAACATCTACACCGACACCCGGTATACTTAACTATCTGAATGACATTATTCTGTAGGACAATTTCCAATACTTTAAAGTTCGAATAATATATGAAGATTTTCTCAATCGAAGATCGATCATTCTTCATCCAAGAATGAATGTTTGTGGTAGTTTCGCATATGTTAACAAATGACGTTCTACATATATCTAATGGTGTCTCATATTATCTCGCATTTAGAGTTCTTTGCTTAGACATGATAATACATTTCATACATCGATATTCCATATTGACCACTGTTCTTCGACTTGATAGAAATTTTCGTTGACGATACCACGTTGAGGCATTATTCCTTCAGAAATCAATCAAAATAGATGGATTGTCTATCATATGACTTTTGTTGCTGATTTCTGGATAATCGTCAAATTTTTTTTTTCAGTTCATCTTGACCATTTAGTAGAGACTGCTTCGTATGAACTTCGTTTTAGGTTCAACTCTACAGACGTTTTCGTTTTCGGCTAGTAGCATAAACTGATTGAAATATGAAACCTATCGATTGTGTTTATTTAGAGATATAACCAGATCGGCTGCATCATCATCAATGTATCATCAACTAACAACCAAGCAATCGAGTTGCGAACTTTCTCTTTTTTAAGCCTAGAAGTACCAAGAATATCTTTTTTCCATCTCTTGACAATTTGTTCTCTACCGTCATTAATCGATTCGTTACAAAACAGGAAGACAGATAATGAGAAAATGATCTTGATGAGATACAATCAAGCAAAAAGAAAGAAAAAAAACTAACCTTGCCTTTTTTCAGTATCCATCTCTGTACATACTCTACCTACATATTGATTTTACTCACTGAAATATATGTATATATAAATATGAAAGAAAAAAAGGCAACTGTGATAGAAGTTCTCTTGCTTTTGATATCTGCAATTGCAGGAAAAAATCCAATATAATCATGCAGTCATCAATAACTTTTTTCGTTCGATAAACTTCCATATTCGTAAAGACATCCAGCGTATACTTGAATGATGATGTTATTTTTTTATTTTTACTACAGAAAAGAAAAGATTAACTCTTTCGTCTATACATCGCTCGAGACAAGTTCAACTTCATAGTTCATCGATATAAAAAAAAAGTAAATATAAGAAACCATCACTTTAGTTAGAGTGAAGGTAATGGAATACTCAAAATGCCAATGTCATCAATCCTCTTTTCACATTAGAAATGTTTATATATATGTGAAAGTGAAAATAAATAAACTAATTTTAGACGTGCACGAGTCACTTCTATTTGTCACCGGATTTGAGTCTATGGGTTTTTTTTATTTAAATTTGAATTTTGAAAAAAAAAATAACACCTCATTTTTAACAAGACAGAGGGACTAAGGGACTAAAGGGACTAAGGGAGTAAAGGGACTAAGGGACTAAAGGGACTAAGGGACTAAGGGACTAAGGGACTAAAGGGACTAAGGGACTAAGGGACTAAAGGGACTAAGGGACTAAAGGGACTAAGGGACTAAGGGACTAAAGGGACTAAGGGTAGGAATAATGGTGTACACAGAGACGTGCATAGGCCGCGGCTCTTCGGGGGGCGCTTCGCGCCCCCACGCCGCGACGCTGAAATAAAAGGTGTGTTAAGTGGGGAAACGCGCTTCCCCACTGAATCGTCCGCTTAGTCCCTTAGTCCCCTTAGGGTCAAGAAAAGTGTGCATCACCTGAAATGCTAGTAGCATCATCTGGGATGCTAGTAGCATCACCTGGGATGGTAGTAGCATCACCTGGGATGGTAGTAGCATCACCTGGGATGGTAGTAGCATCATCTGGGATGGTAGTAGCATCACCTGGGATACTGCAGGCATCACGTAGGATGCCAGTGGTATAGCAGGTGATACTACTAGCATCCCAGGTGATGCCACTAGCATCCCAGGTGACGCTACTAGCATCCCAGGTGATGCCACTAGCATCCCAGGTGACGCTACTAGCATCCCAGGTGATGCCTCTAGCATCTCAGACGAGGCCTCTGGCAACACAGTTGGTTTCTTTGGTGAGCTCCTAATTTGAAATTTACGCAGTTTGGAGCTCACTTTTCTTGACCTCCCCTTAGTCCCTTTAGTCCCTTAGTCCCTTAGTCCCTTAGTCCCTTAGTCCCTTAGTCCCTTTAGTCCCTTAGTCCCTTTAGTCCCTTTAGTCCCTTTAGTCCCTTACTCCCTTAGTCCCTTAGTCCCTTATTTCAATTTGAAATCAAGTGCTCTTTTTTCTGTTTAAATTCAGATTGAAATTAAATAACCCATAGTATGCCGGATTTACATAAGAGATATAAAGGGTGTTTGATAAGTTCTGATTCCATCCGTATTTTGACTATAACTTTTTTTCTTTTTGATCTTTAAAGTTGATTGTTTTTCAAAAAGATGCGCCGTGAAATTCTCTACAAAATCATAATCAAATTTATTTCTGTAGAAAGGTAAGAAAAAAAATTAAATGAAGATTATCCAACACATAAAAAATACCCAACTATCGAAGCTAACGGGTGTCCCATAATCAATGATCAGTATTTGTATCTGTTTTTTTTTTATCATCTAGTACGTTTATTTTAAAACAAAGTATACCATAAGATGCAGCGTGAAAAGCTCTACAAGTTGCATTAAAAAACTTATTTTATATATGCACTCTTCGTTTTTAAAATGGGCAAATATCTGTGCGACCAATTTTCGACGATGCGAATAAGATGATTTATTTGTAGCGCAGAATTTTACTTATTTTAAAAACAAAAGGTGCATCTATATATAATAAGTTGTTCTTGGTAAATTGTAGAGCTTTTCACGCTGCATCTTGTGGTATACTTTGTTTTAAAATAAACGTACTAGATGATAAAAAAAAAAACAGATACAAATACTGGTCATTGATTATGGGACACCCGTTAGCTTCGATAGTTGGGTATTTTTTATGTGTTGGATAATCTTCATTTAATTTTTTTTCTTACCTTTCTACAGAAATAAATTTGATTATGATTTTGTAGAGAATTTCACGGCGCATCTTTTTGAAAAACAATCAACTTTAAAGATCAAAAAGAAAAAAAGTTATAGTCAAAATACGGATGGAATCAGAACTTATCAAACACCCTTTATATCAATAGAAACAAGAGTATGCGTTCTGCTGGATAAAAGTGAATAATATTTATTTATTTTATTTTTTGTTCATTTCGTAGATTATTCTTTATTGTTCTCATATCTTTGTCGTATGTTTCATTAAGGGTGATAGAATATAGCGACATATCTACGATCTAGAAATCGACATTTCAAAAAGACTTTAAGATACATATATAGATTAAAGATCTAAAACTTCAGACTATCATATAATTCAAGATGATCTATCCAACTTAAGGAAGTCAAGCTGCATGCGTAACGTAAAACATCTATTTTTCAATATTAACACGAACCAAAAGACATCAACAAAGCAAAAACATTTAAAAGAGATTTGGTCTTGTCACCAAATGAACATAACGATGAAGTATAAATTGCTTCCACTTAGATAGTAAGAGACATTGTCAAAAACTGCTGGGTTCGACAGATATCCGACGTAACATAAACAAAAGACTGTTGTCTACACTCTCACACTCTGTAATGTAATGAATGATAGAATAATAGATATCATTGTAATCATGTAGGAGACCGTTCGTAAACTCCGTTCAGATCATCAGTTCAAAAAAACAACTTATACAAACAATTACTAAATATCTATAACGAAATCGAATATAATGAGTTATTCTTTCGGTTCAATGACTTGGTGTTAATTTTTTTTTGCTATTGATATTTTCCGACTGGTTTTATAAATTGTTCTTTGGCTGATGATGTGAACGGAGCTCACGAAATTTCTCAAATATTTTTAAAACGATGTCGATGACTCTATTATTCGTTTTTACATATATTTTCATCGATTAAAATTAAAACAAAATCATTCATTAACTATTGTTTTGTTTACTCATGGGAAATATATTTCGAAATACAAGTGTAATGCATTCGAATACACAAATATCAGTGTATATTTTCTCATCATAACAACACGAAACGTGAAGAAAGGCAAATAAAAGAGAAAAAACATTGAATGAACGAAATACATATGGTGAAGAATGCAATCATGAAAAATAACTACCTACCTGATGAAAATGTCATGCTTCATTGATTCGCATAAGCATACATTGGTGGGAAAAAACCAAGTAATTTCGTCAACGATAAATACGAAGCAAAAGTGATTGCAAGCATACAAAACAAAACTTGCACACTCCAGTACCACTTATCATGTAAGTATATTTGGTTTTCAACATTATGAGACTAGAAATAAAATTA